AGTACAGTAAGATTTAACTTCTACTGTTAATAAGATTTTGGTAGGCTACTATTAGATGGATAGCCTAAATGTCCTAATTCAGATGGGCTACCTGTTTTTTTTGTATTTAATGGTATATCAAAAAGTGTATATTTTCTAAATATGATTGTTGGTACATTTGACCAGTTTTTACCATACTTTCAAAACAAAAATTAAAATAGGAAAAATATGCAATATGAAAATAATTGAAGACAAAATGTGTTTACTGAGAAAAAAATAGATTTGGTTTTTAAAAAGCCTTTTTCCAAAAGGTACATCTGGAAAAAGGGGGGTCGTCTTATAATCAGGGTCGTCTTATATTCGGGCCAATACGGTATATGCAAACTAGTTATGAATGATCAGTCATCAAACCTCTTCGTCCTGGTACTGACTGAGGGCCCAAACTGCTCCTAGATGCCAACTGGAACGTCCACGGTCTGGCAGACTGTCCATGATATACTTCATGTCCACCTGGCCCTTCTGTGTGGGAGGAGGCTTCCGCATGGTGGAAGGACTGTTGGGGATCCAGGCAAACCAGTCAAACTGGAACGTAGGACAGGCACACAGATATCAGCCTATAGATACTACCCCAGCCATAGTTTATATTCATCCAGAAAAGTGTCTAATCCCACCTGTCCAAAGTTGACAGCAGCATGTTGTGCTGAAGCTGTGAAAATCACAACAGTCAAGTACTCGACCAACTGCTCCCGAGTTTTCAGGGAATTTGGAAACTCTGTGAAAATTGGCAACAATTGGTGTCTCGTCTGCCATGTTATCACAATGCATATGTAATCACACAAACATTCACACTGTGCATGCTTGCACAGATATGAACATACTTACATTTTAGTCAATTGATCCTGTACTCACCACAATCCTTGGGACAATTCTTCATACCAGAGAAACAAACATCTTGAACAAATGCCTGGATCTCCTCGTCCTCCTGAACGGTCTCATCACTGCCGTAGTAGATCCTGACCACATCAGAAACAAAACTGGAGAAAGATCAAATGAAATGATGAATCAGCAAATTCCAAAATAAATTCTGGTTTCAAATGCTTTACCGATTACTTCATTGTTATTAATTCTCACCATTAGTGTTTGAACATCTGTACATTTTTGTGTATTTTATCAAGTTACCTTTTCACTGCCTCCCAGACCATATTTATTAATAAATGTATATAAATAGAAATTCCTGCAAGCACATCAAATCTTTCTGTCAGACTAATTTCACAAACAAACAAAAGTACAGAAGTCATGTAACAACTACTGAACTTAGAATTCGAACATTATATTCATGTGTAATGGGGTTTTGGTTTTGGGCTGTTGTAGCACCTATAAATATTAATATTTAATTTATGTCAGTACCATGTGAAAAGTGAAAGGAATTATTAAGGAATTATTAAGCATGTCAAATGTTTCTCTCTTGACTATTAAAACTGTGATGTTATGTTAACTCCATTTCCCATAATGCTTTACTGGACCTTTTTCCTGGTTTCTTCATGTCTGGTCAGTAGTGCTGGGTGGTATGACCAAAAATTTATATCACGGTATTTTTCTGGGACAATTCTTCATACCAGAGAAACAAACATCTTGAACAAATGCCTGGATCTCCTCGTCCTCCTGAACGGTCTCATCACTGCCGTAGTAGATCCTGACCACATCAGAAACAAAACTGGAGAAAGATCAAATGAAATGATGAATCAGCAAATTCCAAAATAAATTCTGGTTTCAAATGCTTTACCGATTACTTCATTGTTATTAATTCTCACCATTAGTGTTTGAACATCTGTACATTTTTGTGTATTTTATCAAGTTACCTTTTCACTGCCTCCCAGACCATCATGCCATCATCTCTGTAGTAATAGTTGGGCAGATCTTCCTTGTTGAACACTCCTCGAGCTTTCATGGCCTCAGGGAAGCACAGGGACTTGTAGGTTAAAGATTTCATGGCCTTTTGAATCACTTCAACAATTCCAATTCCACCAGTGCCATTAGCCTTTGAAGTAGAAGGACACCGGTGAATTTTTTTTGTTTGTCTCAGATTACATTTTATAAATGCTTTTTTTTTTTTTTTTAAGTACAGTGAACCAG